AGTCGGTTCCATACTCTTCGAACCATTTCTGCTGATGTTGCTGTTTTCTTCCGTTGATTTACTTGACGTCGGGCTACGCTTCCAGTATCACTGTAACGAGCGACGGTACGAGACACAAAAGATTTATTCACATTTAAATGCTTGAGTGCTCTAACGATGGCCACTTGTGGTTTACCAGCCAAATATAAAGAAATCACATTATCACGCTTGAATTCCATCACGAATAACTTTTTTTCTGGAAAATTCTCACCAAAATGCTTTTGTACGCTTGTAAACAATATAATGAAATAATAAATAATTTTAAATAAATAATTTTAACAGCTGTCAGAAGTTGGTTGCAGTTTTTTCATGTCACCCTGTATATCTGTTGGGTAAATCGACTACCACTTTTTACCTTACCAACATTTGGCTTTGGAGCAGTTGTAGTTTGCTATAGAGTGCATGATATCCCTTGGAGACGGAATATATTAAAAAATATATATCGGAGCCGCGTGGTACAAAATGTAAACGTACGTCCCGAATTTCACTCCATTTGGGCTAATATTAGCCATTATTTCCACAATAAACATGAAATCGGATTAAGGATATATTCTCGATAGAATGAGGCAAAGGTATTTCCGAGCTCTATAAGATATCAGGTACCAAATATCATTGTTGTCGAGTGCATATTACGAATGTGAAGGACTTAAACACTAAATCTGATGAAACATGTATATGGGAGCTATAGTTATATCTTAACCAATTTTCTCCAAATTCAATGTACCTACTTGCTTCTAGACTTAATTCGGTCGGATGTACCAAAATTCAGGACTTTTGGACTTATATTGGTCATTTGGTGCACAATTAACTCAAAATCGGTAGGAGATAAATGGGAGCTATATCTAAATCTGATCCGATTATCACCAATTTCAATAGGGTTCTTCCTTGGGTCAAACAAGTAGTGTCTGCAAAATCAATCAGATAATAAATGCAACCTATATTTTGTTCAAAAGAAAACATTGACGAACGGACGGGCTGGTATGCATAAATCGACTCAGAAAATGATTCTATGAAGACCATCAAATGTAACTATGGGTCTATCACGCTCTGGTGGTTGTAAAGAGAAAAAATTTGCATTCTTTGATAACCCTAATTTCCAAAAACTTTTCAGTGGCATGAATCATTATGCGCTCAATATTGAGTATCAGTGTTTATTTGTATATTTGAAAAAAAATGATAAGAAAATATTTTGTTTGATCCATTATAGTATTCACATTATCATTAAAATGTATTTTCTCAAAACACTTAAAATATTTGACGTCACAAATGACCTAAATGACGTCATAAGTGATACACCCTTTGCAAAATCCAAAAATTGCCGCATTTGTTTGAATGCGACAATATTGGAGTTACTCACAATAGTCAATAGACTTAATGTCACACTTGCCAATATCAATTATGGTAATGTTTCAAATCAATCTGCATATATATCCCTTATCAAAACGTGTACTACAATTATGTACTTTAAATCGATAATAATGAAATTTTTTATTGAATATTTTCAATTTTATAATGACTCATGTCATCGAATGTTATTAAGTTGATTCCCTGTTATTTAGAATTTGAAACATTAGGCCAAAATATATTTTTAGATAGTGGACACATTGCAGCATTTTCTATGTATTTTGATTCATGCTATGCGATTCTCATTTCCTGCAATTATGACGAAACATGCAATTTTGTGTGGTTGTTATTCTTTGCAAATTAGAGTTAATTGTCATATCACCCAATGGATGCACATAATTTCCAAATCATTATCACAAACACTATCAAACATGTTAACTAACATGCCAAGTAACATATTTTATTCTAACATTAAATGAAACAACAAGTGAAGAAAGCCTACAAGTCGTGCGGCGCGACTTCATACCATACACCCCTTTTAGTAGACAAATAAAAGCTTTTATATATATCAACGTAGGTCTTAGTTTCGGTATAGTCCCCATATAACTGATATTTGGTACTTTCATGATTTGTGTCACACTTTTCACTTGAAAATGGGCTACATGTGTTCCCATATAATGGTACCTTCAGATTTTCGGTATTTTAAAGGTTTCTGTCACCATTTCTATATATGGATTTCGCTATTTGGGTTATTTTTTATTATTGTAATTAAAATTGTTGATCTATGTTAACATGTTTTACTCTTTCATTATTTCATTCTACTTTGATAAAAATGGTATAAAAAGTTTGTCCCGGTCGAACTTAAAGCCTTTTTTTGTATATTGAAAGTAAGTTAGAAGATATGGACCAGACGTATTTGGGTAATGTGTCCAAACAAAGCATTTTACCATTTGGACACTAAAAAACACATACACTGAAAAATCGGTGTGTCCAAATCGGGTCACTATTTGGCGCAGATTTTGGTTCAGAGGGATAATTGGGTCATTGTTATTGGATAAAAATGTAAGAACAGCAAACTGACAGCATTTGGTTTCAACAGGACGGCACTACATGCCACACAGCCGAGACTACACTCGATTTTCAAAAACAAAAAAATAAAAAGAAAAGAGAGGACCCTATATATCTTGATCCGATTATTGTTAACAAAATTTGTAGTATCAGCCCAAAAAGGATGGATTTTGGTACCGAACCGATCGGTAAAAATCGGTTCAGATATAGCTATATTCCGATATATATGTATACTGATATTGCTCGATATATCTGGCAGGGATTAAAGAAAAGCAGTCCATTCCTTCTTTTTATAGCCTCAGCCATATGGATACCGAGGGTATATGAATATCGCTTGATACAAATCCATTTCATTGAATAGCTATGAAGCTCGTTAAACGCGAAATGAGCATCCAATTTCTCTCATACTCGGCACATCCCAATATACCTATCAACAAAATCTGTTGTGAAGGCGGTAGATATTGGACCACTCCTTCTTGTATTTAAATATGGAAGTTATCGATCAGCTCCTTCTGGTACCTGCCCATAAAAAGCAACTTTTGATTAACAATTATTCCCATAAAATTTAAAATAACCAGTACAGAAAGTCCTAAAGTCGGGCGGGGCCGATTTTATGATACCCTACACCACTTTACTAATTTTGTAGAGCTCCACATAACAATTAAAAGATTTTATGGGAGAATTTAATCATACACGTTATGATTAAAATTGTAATTTAAAGTTCAAAGGACTAAATATGCCATAGAATTTGTATATTTTAAATTCGGACTTGTATTGCCCATTTGGTGCAAAATTAATTTGAAATCAGATATAGATATATATAAGAGCTATATAAGAGCTATATCCGAATCTGAACCGATCTCGATAGAATTTGGCAAAGATATTTCTGAGCTGTATTTGGTATATTTCCCTGAATATCGTTGCTACGGAGTGCATATTACGGCTGTTGGTAACAAACACAACAAATCGGATGAACAATATATATGAGAGCTATAGCTATATCTGAACCGATTTCGATCAAATTTGGCATACTTATTTTCAGGTCCAATCTGATCGTACGTGCAAAATTCCATACTATTCGGACTGATATTACACGTTTGGTGCACAATAAAAGACAAATCGGACTAAGATTTATATGGGAGCTATATCTAATTTATCTCAAATTTCAATAGGGCTCGTCCTTGGGCCAAACAAATTTTGTTTGGAAAATTTCATCTCAATCGGATAATAAATGCGACCTGCATTTTATTCACAAGAATACATGAACAGACAGACGCTCGGACAGACGGACTGACATGCATAAATCAACTCAGAAAGTGATTCTACGGAGATCCTGAAAAGTAACTATGGGTCTATCCCGCTTCCTTCTCCATGTTACAAACAAATGCACAAAGACATAATACCCTTACCACTATGTGGTGTAGGGTATAAAAAGTTAGAGTTTCTTTAAATTTTATTTTTTAATTTTTTTAGATGTGGAATACTTGGTTCCCCTATATCTGGTACCTGACGCATTTTACGTCCCTTTCCGCAAAAAAAGGACATTGGCTGACGTATTCTTTTTAACTTCTTTTACCTTCATTGGATTTTTCCTACTTCGTAAATTGTCACTTCATTAATTTCTACAACAAATATTTATCTCTAAAAACTATAGCGGATTGTTTACCATCCTTAAGGCCATTTGGGATTGTGTACACCTAAGCCGTTACATATTAATTTCATTGCTTTAATAGTCCGCCAGATATATTCTTAGTTAAATACGGAGAACAATTTGAAAATTTCGAGAAAATCGATTCAGAGATTTTTATTCGGTTGAGGCACAAATAAACTTGAGGTTTGGATACATAAGCAGTTGAAGTCTTCGCATGGCATATTTTGTGACATTAATATGCCTAGCTATGATGCCAAGCTGCTTATATGCCCGCACCTTTACAAACAAACTGTCTTCATTGATAGACGCCGATTTATATTGAGGCTTCCATACAGAAGAAATTGACAATTGTCGGGTAAATGTTAGAATAAACCACGAAAACATCAAAATATCTTTTTCTCGTACGTGAGAACCAAATCCAAAATTTTATGAACAAAACTTTCTTAAACATTTTAATCGCGAAAAATTTCTTCTTGTGGTACTAATCTTCCAGTTTCGTGAAAAAATATAAATCGTCGTGTTAGAAAGACGAAATATTCTTGATTCCATATGACTAAAGATATGGCTAAAATCGTTTAAAAATCATGAACTTATTCTCTCTATAGGGCCAAAAAAGTAGATCACACCACCTATCAACCTATCTCACGTACTTGGTGGTATGCCTTCCATTTGATGTACTTTGCACTCTATATGTGTAGATGTTTTTCCCCGAATATTATTTACAGCACAAAAAATTTTCAAATCATATTTCGTTCAAAATAATTCCATTAGAATATCAGGTTAATTTTATTTACCGGAATGTATCTGCATTCAGACATTTGAATAACATTTAATTATAACGTTTCATACACAGTAACACATACATCAACCGCTGCAAAAGGATGTCATCCCAACTTACCGCACATAGCGTATTGAATAAAAATACGGTATATTTTATTGTAACTGTAGCACAACCCATTCTCGTATTTTCTTTCTTTCTTTCGTTTCAATTGAATGGTCACTTCAATCCGACGGTATGTATCCTCTTTAAGCGTTTCTAATCAACTAATTGGCCAAAAATGTATTCAAATGCTTTAAACTCATTTCTTGTTTTGTTATTCCATTTAGATTTTCCTATTAAACTGTTAACCTTTATTTATAGCATTATTTGCCGTATGATAACGTATCTCACCAATAACAATAACAAAAACCAATCAGCATACCTTGACGTTTTAGATTTTCATAATAAAAACAACAAAAGCATAACAGAATTTAATCAAAAGCGTAAAGGCTCCAATTTGTCGAAATTTCGGGCTATAATCAGTGACCAACTTACCGCGCCTACTACGCTGGAGAGGGTGACCGCATATTTGACTGTCGCTAACTCACAACCCATGCTGCTGGCGGATGCGTTCTCTTCTACTCTTTACGGTTATTGTCACTTTGAAACTGATGTGAAAATTGAAACAGAGATGGGGAATATTTGCTGGGTGCTTTTTATCAGTTTATTTTGGCTATAGGTAGTCAATATGACAACTGATAAGAAATGGTGTTAACTTATTTTATTTTCCTTTATTAAAATTGGCAGGCTATGCTTTGGGTGAAATAAAAATCTTAGATATTATCGAAACCTAAGCTATATTGTAGGGTATAAGGGAACGTCCCCGTATTTTAAACTCTATAAATATTGTACTTATCAATTTTATCAATTCTTACTGCATTACCTACTTCTTGGACGTTCTAAACCAGAACAAAAACAAACTCACAAAACAAAAAATTAAATGTGGGAAATTAGAGACAAATTCAAATCTAGTGTTCTAAAAATGGAACGATTGCGTTTTAAACTAAAGTTTTGGCAATTAAGGGTCATATTAAATTAATGGGTTAGTGGGCTGCTTTGCTAGTAATTACTGAAGCTAGGGTTGGAACAGAAACACAGCCGCGTATTAAAATTAGCCAACAAAGTGTCACTATCCTCAGCAGCAATGCTGTTATATTTCAACGAACCCCAATCGAATCAGTGGCGATATTGTAACTTCTTTATACGTTGGTGTGTTTTTGAGGAATTTAACAGTTAAATCTTAAAGAGCATATCTGGACTCGATTTACACCTTAGTTTTATATTCTTAAGTGGTAGTTCGGAATGATAAGCAACTATTTTTGTTTATCTTACCTTTTGAGATAAATAATAATATGTTGTTTTCTTCTTTTTAAAGAGGAAGGCATAAAAATAAATAAAAAACAGGAAAAAAAAAGTCTTAAAGTCGGGTGGGGCCGACTTTATGATACTCTAAGCCGCTTTGCATATTTAGTAAAGTTTTATATAACAAATAGAATGAATAATATATAAAGGAGCTATAACTATATCTGAACCGATTTTCACCAAATTCGACATACTTGTTTCAATGCTCAATTTGGTGGTCAGTGCCAAATTCCATCCCATTTGGACTAATATTACACGTTTGATGTCCAATAAAAGTCAAATCGGACGCAGATATATATGGAAGCTATATCCAAATCTGAACAGATCTCGACAAAAATTGGAAAGGGTATTTCTGTGCTGTATTTAATATACCTCCCCAAATATCGTTGTTACATAGTGCATATTACGGCTGCGGTGGACAAAAATATCAAATCGGATGAACAATACATATGGGAGCTATAGCAATATCTGAACCTATTTCAATAATATTTGGTATACTTATACTTATTTCCAGGCTTAATTTGTTCGTATATGCAAAATTCAATACTATTTGGGCTGATAATACACGTTTGATTCACAATAAAAGGCAAATCGGATGAAGACATATATGGAAGCTATATCTAAATTTTGACCGATTTTCTTATTATCAAATTTCCTTGGATCTAACAAATGTCTTCTGCAAAATTGCATCTGGATCGGTCAATAAATACGACCTGTACTTTGTTTACAAAAATACATGGACAGACAGATGGACGAACACGCATAAATCGACTGAGAATGTGATTCTATGCAGATCATCAAAAGGAACTATGGATCTATCTCGTTTCCTTTTGCCTGTTACAAACAAATGCACAAAGACATAATACCCTGACCACCTTGTGGTGTAGGGTATAACAATAGCATCAAATAACAATAGCATCAAAACTGAAATATTGCATCAAATAATTGCAAAATGAATACTACAGTCTTCGATACATAAATGTATTCCATTTATGAGATTTAGACCAATGGACATAGACCCAATCTTTCACGCGGCCTAAAAGAAGGAGATCACAAGGTGTTGAATCTCAAGATGAGACGATCCGGAAATACTAGTGTCAGTCTAATACCATCTTTTTGAAAGTAAACTCATTAAAAATCTTACTAGAAGTAATGTTGTTTAGAAAAAGCAAAGCTTCCTAGATGTATATTCCAAATCGATTTGAAATTTAAGTCTTCGCAAAGCACGTACAAGATATCAATACAGCCTAAACATTTTTTTTTGACAAAATGCTATCTAAATCTGTTCATATTTCAATAAAGTTGTCATATATAAATCTCTCCGATTTACAGCGTGACCAAATTGACTAATATTAAAATCTATCCTAATAGATTAAGGCAGAGATATACAATTTTAGGGTTATGTTTATCGACTAAAAAACTTTTATTCCACATAATTATATGGAACACGTACAACGTATGCTATAGAATTTTCCTATACCTCAGAGAATTTATTATTTAAGTCCTCCACTCCGTCATATTCACTCTATAACAATTATATTCGGTACAAGATATCAGATACAGCCGAGATATATCCTTGACAATATTTGACGAAATCGGATCGAAAGTATATTTTTCGTCAAATTTTTATTATTAGTTCAATGGAGAAAATTTTCGTAGAGGCTTCCAAGTTAAAACTATTTGGTGAAAATCGGTTGAGATTTAGATTTAACCAACTTTATATCTTGCTCCGTATTCTACACTCGATAACAATGATTTTCGGTAGAAGATATTAGGTTAGAAGATATTAGGACCATACAAATTCCGAAATTCCGTCGATTGGCCTTAGTTGAAACCTGCAGAGCAACTGAACAATTGGAAAATTTTGAGATTTGTTACATTTCAACCCCTAAATATTTTATGTTAATCTTCAAAGGAATAGGACCCTGATGAAAAATTTCAGGAGGATTATGATCATTTATAATAAACAAGTAAAAAAGCAGGTAGGAATGAACTTAAAAATTTTCCCAAAAAATCCGTTATACAGGGGTTATGCGAAGACGTGATCTTGCATTTACCATTTTTGTCATAGGCCGTAGTACTCATTACGAACTGCGTCAATTGAGTTTTGTACGTGAACAAATGCAAATCAATGCGAATAATCCGTTGTAAAGTGGACCGAGCCATGTCCAACTGCTGAGAACGGCGTTTTTGGGATGTTCTTGGGGACCTCTCAACAGTGGCTCGTACGGCAGCGATATTCTCGGCCGATCGCCTTGGTCGACTTTTATATGGCCTCTTCGGATTAGAAAGAGCCGTACCAGCCTTACCATGTCATTAAGCGATGTGACATCTCTGTCAAAAGTTATGGCGTTGCCAGATGGGTCCGTCGAATATGGACAACCCTGTATATAGACAATTCTCTTCCAGAGGGAAAGGAACTCAGAAGGAACTCCTTGTGTGGATTTTCAGACAATTCCATTAAAAAAATTGGCTGCAATCATCACAATAACGATATCGTGGACATATATAGACAATGCTCTTCCAGGTGGTAAAATACTCAGAAGGAACTCCTTGCATTATTTTTCAGAAAATTCCATTGAAAACTGTGGCTAAAATTATCAAAATACCGAATAGCGGGGGTTCCGTTACATGGGGACCAATGTATCCATCTTCGAACTTGACCTGAAAAAAATTTTACTTTCTTATCTTAATTCGTCTGACTCTGGCGTGATTAATACGGACGGATGGACAGAGAGATCTAAATCGACTTAGGATTTTACTCTGATCTAGAATATATATATATACCTTTTTAGGTCTAAAGTTATTTATCAGCATCAATGTCACGGTCGAAATGACTTTTTTGACAAATTATAATTTCGCCCGCATAAAAAATATTCGCGGTTTACAAACATTTTGGTTCAATCAAACTTCTAATATCCCCAACACATAGTGTTGTAGGGTATATATACCTTTGCCAAGTTTTGCCGACATCGGTACAGATTTGGATTTGAAGATTGGATTCCCTCCATTTTTACGTAAATAATACAACAAAGATGCTACATTTGTCCTTCCTTACTGGTTTTATTTTTATACCCTCCACCTTGAAAAGGAGGGTATATTAACTTTGTCATTCCGTGTGTAACATCCCTGAATATTCATCGTTGACCCCATAAAGTATATTTATCATGATCAGCATAATATTCTAGGTCCGTCTGTCTATTAAAATCACGATTCAGCCCATATTATTTGACGTAGAGCATCAACATTTAGCAGAACAATTTGTATTGAGGCTAGGATGGTTGGTATTTAAAATGAGATATATTGGTCTACGTTTTGGTATAGCAGCCATATAACGGTACCTCTCGATATTCGGTATTTGCATGATTTTTGCCATATGTTTCCACGGATTTTTCCAAAAAAGTATATTTGTAGTTTGAAATGGGTTCTAGCTCCTCTGGTTGAACATAGTATGTATAGGTCCACGTTTTCGTATACCCCCGCATATTTGTACCTCCGGATTTTCTGTATTTTAATGATTTTTGTCATTTTGATTTGTCTAAAAATTGGTATTAGGTAGTTCATAATGGGTTCTGACTCCAGCGGCAGATCATTGAAAATTTATGTCCACGATTTCCTATAGCGCACATGTAACGATACCCACCAATACTCGATATTTTAATAATCCTTGTCACATTTACCCACGAAATTGTTTTAAATTTGATATTTATGAAGATTTGGTAGATGACAATCCTTGAAGTATAAAATTGACCATTTTGGTATGGGCCCATACAACGGCATCACTCACTTTATAGATGTAAAAATCTTAGATCGCTGCTACGAAACTCAACCCCCATGCACATATAAGCCCTTGATGGATGGTTTTTTATCGTATCACCTTAAAATGAGGATTTTATCAGATCTTTATTGAAATCTCGTCAAATTGTGATACGAAGATATGAGGTTGCTCCACCCCGTCTTTTGTCCCTTCCTTACTGGTCAAACTTAATGTTGTCAATATAAACTGCTACAATAACAACCAACCAACCTATAGAGTACTAGGATAATATTGTATTATTCAGTCTATTTGACGAACCAATCAATCACTATTTTGGAATATTATTCACCTAATGAAATGATCGCCAGTGTTATTTTTGCGACAAAAATATATTTGTAGGTGTTACGTTTGTCATAGAACTTTCTCTTATCGCAATAAAAACAATAACAATGCGTGTTTTTAAGGTGCTTCTGGCATTGAGGAACAATCAATTCCTTATCTCGCAACAACTGATAACGAAAATTCAAAAACTCATAATCCACATTTCTACACACATTAGCCTATGTCGGGACACACGAACAAGTGTTGGAACACCAACATGAATAGAAGAGCTGCAATTTCGATTCACAATCGAGAAAATAGACCTTAGTTCTCAATACTCAGTCGTGAAGTACGGATCCGTGCCGGTTGTAAAAATTTACAAAACGAAACAGAGAAGAGTCTGTTTCAGTTTCAATTGTTTTGTTTTGTTTTTCCGACGCCAAATACAATAACAACAAAATGGGTTGTGGCGAATCAACATTGAAGTTTACATTATTCGTATTGAATATTTTGTGTTTTGTGAGTGTTGTTCTCGCTCTGTTTTTATTTTCTAATTAAATAGATCTTGAAAGTGAAATTATGTAAGAAAGAACATGTGAATGAATGAACGTCTTGACGGATCATAAAAAACCACCGCTCAATAAACCATAATTTTTTTCATAGACAAAAAGATTAAAAGTTTTCAAAACTGTTTTCAATGTTTTACAAGATTAGGGAGTGTACATATTTAGCCATCGATGTGTGTATTTGATTGTTTTGATTTGCCATCCATGAATATTTAGTTTGTTAAGAAAAACGATTAAAATACGCTTCGTGAATATAAACACAGCGGATATTTATAAACATTTTTTTTTTTAATTTTGCCGAAATATCAACAAGCAGAAAACGACCCCATTTTTGCGACCCATCCGAAGACACTTATTTTGTGTTCTGTAGGAGTACCCCTAATAACATTTTGCGATTTTAAAGTATTATGTGAACTAAAAAATTCATAAATAAAACCGAATTGTTGTAGTTTCGATTGATGCACACTCTCTAAAATTAACTTTCGTATATATATATCGGTTCATATTAATATTTTCCCTCTAAAAGTTTGATCCTTATCGGTCTAATCTTAAAACCCGTAGACTAGTTTAATATTTTTTCTAAAGTTTAATGCACTTATATTTCGATGAAAACTAATGACATGTGAGTTCATACGAAAATCATAACAAAAATAATCTTGGAGAGTAATAAACCGCATTAAGAAATCAAGACCCCATACGCGAGCCAATCCCATTGGAAAGCATGGGGAAGCCCTTAAACTATGTGAAATCGGCCGGCACCTCTATATGAACAATATGTGGTATATCAACACACATACGGAGTTGATATACCAAGTGAGAGATAAAAATATCAGCCGGTATCATTAAACAAGTAAAAAAGTAGTAAGTTCGGCCGGGACGAACTTTAAAAAACCCTCCACCATTTAGAAGGAATTTGGGAATTTTGAAAAAAAAAACCAGTAAGGAAAGCTCAAAAGTCGGACGGGGCCGACTATATGATACCCTACACCACTATGCATATTTAGTAGAGCTCTCGTAAAAAGGTTTATACAGGGCATTTCAGAGCTCTATGAGATATTTGGTACAAAATCAAAATCTATCTAATCCTATCGTGCATTTTACGAACTATAGCTATCTCTGAACCGGGTTTCTCTAAATTTGACGTATTAGCTTCTAGACTGAATTCGGTCTTATGTACGAAAATTAAGGTGATTTGGGCTGATATTGGCCATTTGGTGCACAATTAACACGAAATCGGATGAAGATATATATGGGAGGCATATCCAAATCGGAACAGATTTTAATAGAATTAAAATCAACTGTTTTTGGGCTTTATCTGATATCTGGTACCAAATATCATTTCTGTGGAGTGCATATTACGAATGTGAGAGACTTAAAGACCAAATCGGATGAAAGATATATATGGGAGCTATAGCTAAATCTGCACCGATTTTTACTAAAATTGGTGTACTTGTTTCTAAGCTGGTTTCGGTCGGATTTGCCAAAATTGATGCTATTACGGCCATTTGGTGGTCAATCACCCGAAATCGGATGAAGATATATATGGGAGCTATATCCAAATCTGAACCGATTTCGATAAAATTTAAAACAGCTATTCCTGTGCTCCATCTAATACCTTGTACCAAATATCACGGTTGTGGAGTGAATATTACGAATGTAAGGGACCAAAACACTAAATCGGATGAAACATATATATGGGAGCTATAGCTGTTTCTGAACCGATTTTCTCCAAATTTGTTGTATTTGCTTTAAGGCTAATCTCGGTCATATGTGCCAAAATTCGGGCCATTTGGTGGTCAATTAACCCGAAATCGGATGAAGATATATATGGGAGCTATATCCAAATCTGAACCGATTTCGATAAAATTTAAAACAGCTATTTCTGTGCTCCATCTAATACCTGGTAACAAATATCACGGTTGTGGAGTGCATAGTAGGAATATGAGGGACTTAAAGATCAAATCGGATGAAAGATATATATTGGAGCTATAGCTATATCTGAACCGATTTTCTCCAAATTTGATAAACTTGCTTCTAGGCCGAACTCGGTTGTTTGTGCCAAAATTCAGGTAAGTTGGACTGATAGTGGACATTTGGTGCACATTTAACCCGAAATCGGATGAAGATATATATGGGAGCTATATCCAAATCTGAACCGATTTCGATAAAATTTAAAACAGCTATTTCTGTGCTCCATCTAATACCTGGTACCAAATATCACGGTTGTGGAGTGCATAGTAGGAATGTGAGGGACTTAAAGATCAAATCGGATGAAAGATATATATGGGAGCTATAGCTATATCTGAACCGATTTTCTCCAAATTTGTTGTATTTGCTTTAAGGCTAATCTCGGTCACATGTGCCAAAATTCGGGCCATTTGGGCTGATATTGGCCATTTGGTGGTCAATTAACGCGAAATCGGATGAAGATATATATGGGAGCTATATCCAAATCTGAACCGATTTCGATAAAATTTAAAACAGCTATTTCTGTGCTCCATCTAATACCTGGTACCAAATATCACGGTTGTGGAGTGCATAGTAGGAATGTGAGGGACTTAAAGATCAAATCAGATGAAAGATATATATGGGAGCTATAGCTATATCTGAACCGATTTTCTCCAAATTTGATATACTTGCTTCTAGGCCGAACTCGGTTGGGTGTGCCAAAATTCAGGTAATTTGGACTGATAGACGACATTTGGTGCACATTTAACCCGAAATCGGATGAAGATATATATGGAAGCTATATCCAAATCTGAACCGATTTCGATAAAATTTAAAACAGCTATTTCTGTGCTCCATCTAATACCTGGTACCAAATATCACGGTTGTGGAGTGCATAGTAGGAATGTGAGGGACTTAAAGATCAAATCGAATGAAAGATATATATGGGAGCTATAGCTATATCTGAACCGATTTTATCCAAATTTGATATACTTGCTTCTAGGCCGAACTCGGTTGGGTGTGCCAAAATTCAGGTAATTTGGACTGATAGTGGACATTTGGTGCACATTTAACCCGAAATCGGATGAAGATATATATGGGAGCTATATCTAAATTTGATCCGATTCTCACCAATTTCAATAGGGTTCGTCCTTGGGCCAAAAAAATATTGTTTGGAAAATTTCATCTCAATCGGATAATAAATGCGACCTGCATTTTGTTCACAAGAATACATGGACAGACGGACGGACGGACGGACGGACGGACGGACGGACGGACGGACGGACGGACAGACGGACGGACATGCATAAATCGACTCAGAAAGTGATTCTATGAAGGTTCTCAAAAGTAACTATGGGTCTATCTCGTTTCCTTCTCCATGTTACAAACAAATGCACAAAGACATAATACCCTTACCACTATGTGGTGTAGGGTATTATGTCTTTGTGCATTTGTTTGTAACATGGAGAAGAAAACGAGATAGACCCATAGTTACTTTTGAGAACCTTCATAGAATCACTTTCTGAGTCGATTTATGCATGTCCGTCCGTCTGTCCGTCCGTCCGTCCGTCCGTCTGTCCATGTATTCTTGTGAACAAAATGCAGGTCGCATTTATTATCCGATTGAGATGAAATTTTCCAAACAATATTTTTTTGGCCCAAGGACGAACCCTATTGAAATTGGTGAGAATCGGATCAAATTTAGATATAGCTCCCATATATATCTTCATCCGATTTCGGGTTAAATGTGCACCAAATATCCACTATCAGTCCAAATTACCTGAATTTTGGCACACCCAACCGAGTTCGGCCTAGAAGCAAGTATATCAAATTTGGAGAAAATCGGTTCAGATATAGCTATAGCTCCCATATATATCTTTCATCCGATTTGATCTTTAAGTTCCTCACATTCCTACTATGCACTCCACAACCGTGATATTTGGTACCAGGTATTAGATGGACCACAGAAATAGCTGTTTTAAATTTTATTGAAATCGGTTCAGATTTGGATATAGCTCCCATATATATCTTCATCCGATTTCGGGTTAATTGACCACCAAATGACCAATATCAGCCCAAATGGCCCGAATTTTGGCACACCCAACCGAGTTCGGCCTAGAAGCAAATATATCAAATTTGGAGAAAATCGGTTCAGATATAGCTATAGCTCCCATATATATCTTTCATCCGATTTGGTGTTTAAGCCTCTCACATTCGTAATATGCACTCCACAAGAATGATATTTGGTACCAGATGTAAGATGCAGCCCAGAAATAGATGTTTGTAATTTTATCAAAATCGGTTCAGATTTGGATATAGCTCCCATATATATCTTCATCCGATTTCGGGTTAATTGTGCACCAAATGGCCGATATAAGTCCAAATGGACTGAATTTTAGTACATCGGACCAAATTCAGCCTAGAAGCAAGTATATCAAATTTAGTGAAAATCGGTTCAGATATAAATATAGCAACCATATATATGTTTCATCCGACTTAGAATTTTAGTCCCATACATTCGTAATATTCACTCCACAACCGTGATATTTGGTACCAGGTATTAGATGGAGCACAGGAATAGCTGTTTTAAATTTTATCGAAATCGGTTCAGATTTGGATGTAGCTCTCATATATATCTTCATCCGATTTCGGTCAATATCAGCCCAAATCACCAGTCTAGAAGAAGAAGAAGAAGAATACGTAAAATTTGGAGAAACCCGGTTCAGAGATAGCTATAGTTCGTAAAATGCACGATAGAATTAGATAGATTTTGATTTTGTACCAAATATCTCATAGAGCTCTGAAATGCCCTGTATAAACCTTTTTACGAGAGCTCTACTAAATATGCATAGTGGTGTGGGGTATCATATAGTCGGCCCCGCCCGACTTTTGAGCTTTCCTTACTGGTTACAATCATAAAAATGCGGAATATAGGGAGTTACCGTTATATTAGGGTCTATACGATGACGTGGACCTGCATAACCAATTTTATTATCCTACTTCAGT